TGAAACCTTTCCACAACGAGAAGAAGCCCTCCTTCCCCACCACACGCACCAGGACGTCCTGCAAGACACACACCACAGACGGACTCAAACCGGGACCAAACCAGGACCAAACCAGGACTAAACCAGGGACCAAACCAGGGACTAAACCAGGGACCAAACCAGGGACTAAACAGGACCAAACCAGGGACCCAAACCAGGACTAACCAGGACCAAACCAGGGACCAAACCAGGACCAGGGAAACCAGGGACTAAACCAGGGACTAAACCAGGGACAAACCAGGGACCAAACCAGGGACCAAACCAGGGACAAACCAGGGACCAAAACCAGGACAAACCAGGGACCAAACCAGGGACTAAACCAGGGACCAAACCAGGGACCTAAACCAGGGACCAAACCAGGGACTAAACCAGGGACTAAACCAGGGACCAAACCAGGGACCAAACCAGGGACCAAACCAGGGACCAAACCAGGGACCAAACCAGGACCCTAGGACCTTGTCACTCACCAGTCCGTTCTTGTACTCTGGTTTCCCGTCGATCATCTTCATGTTCTGGATCCTGCACAGAGACAAGTTAATTCAGAGTCTGGAATAACCGGGACTAAACCAGGGACAGAATCAGGTCTAAATCAGGACCGGGACAGACCTGGTCTTGACGATGTCGACGGGCATGGAGGCGGCGGTGGTGACGAGGCCGCTGATCATACTGGCACAGAAGTGGCACAGGATGTCATCGCCGAAGTACCCTGAGACAGACAGAGGGGGCGCCACAGTCACACTCACCGTTTTACACTGGAGCTCAACAGCGCCCCCGCCTGGTCCCGCAACACGGACTTCAGGAACCAGAGCGGACGTCTCTGCTGAGCTCCACCAAACATCGCTTAAACATCATTCAAACGTCGTTCAAACATCACTGCTGTAATATTCAGAGAAATGGCAGATGCTCTTCCTCCTCCGAGTCTGTGGAGCAGTGACCATGTTCTGACTCGTGTCAGAAGGACGACACAACGATCATGAACCGAAACACCCACATTATTTTAACAAGAACAAACATGATCCAGAAACGAAATTCATTCGACTTTAAAATCACAATAAACCAAACACTTACTTCCTCTTTTAAAGAGGAATTCAGTTTTATTCACGATTAAAGTTTTCATGTAAACGTGACAACTGTGCATCTGTTTTGTTAGAGCTGCTTTGGACTTTTATGTTCAGAAATAAAACTTTTATAGCAGTAAGTTTCCCCAGATGAAACAGAGCTGCTGTAGAGCGCCCTCATGTGGACACTAACCTGTACTACACAACACACTTTATTCACCTCAAAACTGATTTAAACTATTTATTTATGAACGATGACGACTGACATCAGAGGACTGGAGTTTTGTGTTTAGTAAATTTTATTTTGTGCTTTATCTGAGTTTAAATTGACCTGAGTGTGACCTTTGACCCTGTGACTGACCTGAGTCGAGCAGAGCCTGTTTGGACTGAGAGTACGAGGCGAGCTGCGCCGCGTTCACCACCAACGCCCGAGCCATGGTCGGAACACAACCCTGAAACACACAACACACGGCACATGACACACGACACACAACACTGACAACACACAACACACACACACATGACACACGACACACACACACACACACAACCCTGAAACACACACAACACACGCACATGACACACACACACAACCCTGAAACACACAACACACGGCACATGACACACGACACACAACCCTGAAACACACAACACACAACACATGACACACACAACACCACAACACATGACACATGACACACGACACACAACCCTGAAACACACAACACACGACACATGACACACGACACATGACACACACGACACACAACCCTGAAAACACACAACACACGGCACATGACACACGACACACAACCTGAAACACACAACACAAACGACACATGACACGACACACTACACACGACACACGACACACACACACACACACAACCCTGAAACACACAACACACGGCACATGACACGACACACACACACAACACATGACACACAACACACGACACACAACCCTAAACACACACAACACACACACACACACATGACACACAACACACAACCTGAAACACACAACACAGGCACATGACACACACACACGACACATACACACAACACACAACCCTGAAACACACAACACACGGCACATGACACACACACACGACACACAACCCTGAAACACACAACACACGACACATGACACACGACACACGACACACCCTGAAACACACAACACAGCACATACAACACACACACACACACATGACACACAACACACGACACACAACCCTGAAACACACAACACACGGCACATGACACACGACACACTACACACAACACATGACACACAACACACGACACACAACCCTGAAACACACAACACACGACACATGACACACGACACACAACCCTGAAACACACAACACACGGCACATGACACACGACACACTACA